GTATGTATTATTAGGATTTCTTGGCCCTTTAGGAGTACCTCCGCCAAATGCTGCCTTGCCCTCAGCTTCTGATCTGTCTCGCACGTAACCACTAATTCATTTCCATGCCCACTGAGCCCGGTAGCAAGGTACCACGTACGCACATGTGCTCATGACATCAGCCCAAGATGAACAGAATTTGCTTTGGTGACCTAGGGCAAGGAGTCACTTGGGAAGTTGGAGCAGGTTTCCCCAAATCGCTGATGTTTCTGTTTATTTCCTATCATTCATTATCGTTCAGGTATGTCAGTAACACACTTACCTTCCCTAACCATTCATTTCCTTCGGTGGAGGAAAACAAAACCCTCCCAGGTAGATCATGTCTGCTCCATCTGTTAAACACAGACTTTCCCGTGAAACTTAATAGACTAGATCGATTTTTGAGTTAGACGTTCAGTTTTCCATTAAAGTTGTAGTACAGTAGAACCTCTGTAAGCTGACCACTGAAAGGACTGTGACAAAGTGGTCAACACGTGGAGGTGGTCAGCATCAGGAACGAAGCCAACTGTACTGATACGTACAGGTGGTGCGTGTCCAGTCTGTGAACATTAGGTCAGTGTGGGTAGAGCCTCCAGCCATGGAGGTCCTAATGTACATCTGACCTAAGATTACAGTAATACTCTGGATGAAAAACTCCCAGTCATTACTTTTATTAAATTGACATGATGCAAATATACTGCCTGCTCGACACAAAATAAATCACAACTACTAGGCTCAGGGGATCCTCCTGCCTCAGCCTCCCAAGCAGCTGGGACTACAGTCACCTGCCACAACACCTGGCTCGTTTTTCTGTCTTTAGTAGAGATGAGGAGGGTCTCACTCTTGCTCAGGATGATCTTGAACTCCTGAGCTCAGACAATCCACCCGCTTCCCCCTCCAGGAGTGCTAGGATTACAGACCTGAGCCACTGTGCCTGGCCATAATTTTTTTTTTTTTTTAATTCAAATGACAGGGTAAAAGGGCAGATATCTGAGGAGTATGCTAACTAATTGCACAGAAACAGTAAGTGTTGGTGCTGACCTCTTTAACAGCACCTGCAGGAAGGTGGAGGAAGCCTGCTGGCCATGGCCTTGGCCTGGGGAGGACCCACCCAGGTAGCAATGGCAGAATCCCAGTGAGTAGCTTTCAAAAGTCAGTGGAAAATACAGGTTCTTACAAT